TCCTCCACAACTAGACTGAAGAACAAAACGACAGCAACTTGTCTGTTCCCCTTTCCCCAATTCCCCAGCACTGTTCCCATCCCCCCAATTCTCCAATAAAAAAAAAAAAAGAAATGGGGAGGAGAAAACTAGGCAATGAGGTCAGAGAGGGCATCGTAACGGTGGCAATTAGTTCAATTATCAAATATTAAGTTTGAGATTTCTGTAGCTATCCAGATGGAGCTCTCAGGTAGTCAAATGGATATCTGAGTCTGCAATTCAGGTGAGAGATCCATGCTGAAGATAAAACTTGGGACTTGTCAGCATATTACATGGTGTTAAAGTCATGAGACTGGGTGAGATGATGGAAGCCTGTCCAAGGGCTGTGACCCTAGCTGAGCAACCTGTACCAGCAGCACCGACATCACCTGGGAGCTCATGAGAAATGCAGAAGCTCGGGCGCAGAGCTATTTAATCAGCTCTGACCTCTGACTAGATCCCCAGGTGATCGACAGGCACATTAGTGTGAGAAGCATGAACCTGCAGTGGGGACAGAGGAGAGGTCCAAGGCTGAGCCTCGGAGACTTCTGCAAAGGCGCTTCGCATAGGGGAGCAGTCAATAAAAGAGAGAGGCAGCCACTGGTCAGCGGAGCAGAAGAGGTCTCCAAACGGATTTCCAATTCACTGGCCTGCTCAGAAGCCTTGTCGGGAACAGTCAAATGTACCACTGATTAGAGGAGCTCTTCCTACTGTTTCCATGCACAGAAAATAGTATTTATGGCCCTGGGCTACTTGAAGGAGGCTGCTTGCCACCAGGGACAACCAGTCTAGGACTGAGGCTGCCCCAGCCCCACCCCGAGAAGAAGCGGTTCTGTCTCTCAGCACGTCTGAGTGGAGAAACTGTTGGCAAGTTCTGAAGCAGAAAGCAGTGTGACAACTGCTACGATGGAGGCGTTTACAGCATGTTGTGGGAGGCCATCTAAACTGGGTGACAAATAGAAGAATCCTAGGAGGGTGATACCTGAGCCAAATTTTGAAAAATTAAGTTGGTGTAAGCTCGATGAAGGGAAAAGAGGGCAGCCTAGCCAGAGACCAGCACTCTCAGCCAGCTGGCCCTAGGGAAGTCTGGCAGAAGGAAGGGGTCTGATGCCTGGAGAGGAGGCGTGGGTCACGCCCGCCCCTGCCTTCTGTGCTGCCGCCATCCGCCCACCATCCCCTCCCCTTTCTCACCTCCACTACCACTTCCTGCCGCCCCCACACAGCTCTGTCTCCCTGGGCTTTCACTTGGTCTCCATCCTTCCCTTGGAGCTCTACCTCATGTCCCCAGGCCTTTTCTTCCACATTCTTACATTTTGCCACATGAGAGATTAAAACAGAATAAAAATGCATGTTATGAAAAAAGTGTTGATTTTATAATCTTCTTTCTAAAGTGCTTATAACAGCTATAAACACAAGCATTTAATTTGGGCTTCTAATTCAGAAAACAATGTAAGCTAAACCAACTGCTTTAGCAAAGGCATCCAACACTACTTAAAAATGCATACAATTTAGAAAATATTGTAATGAAGTCCCCTTTACTCTCCAGAAGAAATGGTGGTTGCCAGGGACTGGGGGGGATGGCAGAGGGGGAATAAGTTGTTGTTGGTCAAGGGATAAAAACTTCCAGTTAGAAGATGAGTAAGGTCTGGAGATGTAACACACAGCATTGTGAATATAGTTAACAATACCGCATCATGTGCTTGAAAGTGTTAGGAGAGACAGATCTTAAATGTTCTCACCACAAAAACAAATGGTAATTATGTGACAGGATGGAGGTGTAAGCTAAGGCTACAGCGGTGATCATGTTGCAATACAGAAGTATGTCGAATCAACACCTTGTACACCTTAAACTTATGCAATGTTATATGTCAACTCCGTCTCAGTAACACTGGACAACTATATATATAAAATACATGTGTGTGTGTGTGTGTGTGTGTGTGTGTGTGTGTGTGTATGTATATGTATACACACACACACACATAAGCTGAAAGCCTCTGAGTAACTATCAAGTGAGCAATGAGGTGAGTAGCAGAGGTTGGACCAGTGTGCCCGACTTAGTCACTGTCCTCACTCAGCTGAACAGTTTAAAAATATGCATGACCTGTTACATGCAAAAAGTCCATATTTATCTTTATACAATTATTATTAAAGAATATATCTAAAATCTACTTTCATGTAATCAAATATCTGATCCAAAATGTTTTTAAATATTTTAAATTATTTCTTAAGAGCCATGTAACTAGAATATTAACATTAGATATTATAGTTAAAGTTGTTTAACTTTACACTGAAATAAATATTGAAGGGTAAACTGATATAGCAGTCTTGACTTTTGCAATCAGAAGCCCTGAATATGTCACGCCACTGAAAACTGTGTGAGTGTGAAGAAATCACTTAGGGGCCGGCCGAGTGGCACGTTGCTTAAGAGTTGGCTTGGGACACCAGCTCTGAGCAGCAGGGCCCCAGTTCGGATCCCATATGATGGCCAGTGACGCTGCCCTCTATAGCGAAGATGGTGAACAACAGCTCTACCTGGAGCTGGGCTGCCGTGAGTCGCCAGCGACAGCGTAGGCTGCAGTGGAGCTGCAGTGGGCTGCTGTGAGCTACCAGAGTGGCTGGCAGCCAATCTGAGCTGCCAAGAGCCACTGTGAGCGGCCATCCAATAGTAGGTGACCGATGTGTCTCACTTGGGAAGAGCACAATGATAATACCAACATGGGCCAGTGAAGCGATGTCCTCCACAACTAGACTGAAGAACAAAAGGACAGCAACTAGTCTGTTCCCCTCCCCCAATTTCCCAATAAAAAATCTTTAAAAAAAAAAAGAAATCACTTAACTTCTCTAAGCCTCAGTTTCCTCATCTGTAAAATGAGAAAATACAATAAATGAGGCAAACAGCAGAATCAAAACCATAAAAATGAAGGAAGGGTGAAAGAAAAGACAAGACAAGACAAGACAAAACAAAAAGTCAGTTATATAAAAGCACTATATAAATTGTGAACTGGTAAACAAATGATAGTATTAGCAAACTCCTGGTGGATACATCATTAGACCTATTTAAATTCTCTAATTTGCAAATTCTATCACATTGCAAACAATAATGTAAATTGAGCCACTTTTAAATGGATTCAGAGCTGCCAACCCAGAGGAACTGCCTAGCTGGACTTATGTCTCAATCCCCTGGAATGTTAGAACAGTGCAAAATGGCCTTTGGACTGGGCCTAGGACAACACTGTGTCCCAAAGAAGTGTTTGCAAGGACAACAAGAAAGCAAATGTTACTACTGCTGAACTGATAACTACGGAACTAAAGCTTAAAAACACTGTTTAGAATTAGCATCACTATGTTATCTGCATCAATAGAAATGCCTTTCTTCTGTTGATGTAATTGTTCCCTTCCCTGTCTTGTAACAACCCCTTGCCTTTGTCTTCTAATCGGAACATTATTTGGGCTTCTGCCTGAATGAATGATTCCTGAATAGCTATTCTTTTTTATCCCAACAAATGCTTATTGCCTCTCACGTTGAGAGGCCTTTTTATTTTTGAGGTTAACAGCATCATAGAATCTAATGCATCATCCTCATAAAAAATACGTTTTCTGTCTAGACAGCACTATAACTTTTAGTCCTCTTTACCTTTTTTTCCCCTCAAAAAAAACCAAATTCTTATCACTTCAAGAGATTAACTGCATCAATGACAAAGGACCAGGAACGAGAAAGGTGCCTGAGGACCGGGTACTGGATGGCTGGCTAGACACACTCACCAGCTGGGTGACCCCCCTAAGCACCCAGCCTAGAACACAGACACTCAGCTGAAACACATCTACTACATAAGGTGCGTCCCCAGGCATGTGTCTGCTAGCTGACACCACGAAACGCCAAGAGACACAAGACCCAAAGGGGTGTTTGACCTGATAGAAAAGTTTGCACACTCACTTATGTTTTTGTATAAGGAATAATTAGTTTCATCAGAAGACATCTCTTGGTTAGCAAAGATGAGCAGCCTTCGATGCACAGGACAGAGGGAGGAGCTGGGTGTGCAGGCGGAAAGGCCGGGTTTCAGCAGCAGACTTGCACAACCACCGCAGTCCAGCTCCAGTAGCGCCCTGGAGAAATGCCACAGCTCTCCCTGACCTCTTAAAATACCTTCACTGTCAGGAAGACATTCCTAGTAGGATTCTCTCAGCTAGTTGGCCATTTTTTTAAGTAAAACATGATAAACATGTCACAATGATCTCTCAAAAATGCTTTAGGAGACCCCACAGTCACCTTTTTCAACAGTTTTTGTCCCATGATCACAGCTGAATATGTACCTGACCATTCAGCCTGATAAACAGCAAACTCCTTGAACCGAGAAAAGTCAACTATATCACTATGGTGTCTCCAGTGTAATGCAAGGTACGTAACAGATGATCTATAAACATTTATTAGCGGAACTGAATTTTAACTCATAGTGATAAAGAAAGCAGCTAGAAAAGAACAGCATCGGGTTTTAAAAAGCGACACAAATGTCTTGCAGATTTTAGGATGCAGACACCGTATCCAAATACTTATTCCGCAGGTAAACTCTCATTACAACCACCGCCACTGTATCTCCAATACTTATCTTTCTAAGAAATAATGCATTCCGAGAACAATATTCCCCATTTCCAGGACCAGGACAGAATTCTAAGTCTTTGGACAGTGAGCAGACAGGCAAACTCGGGGGGAAAAAGGTGCCATCCTGACATGGCTGCCCTCTCTCCAGCCTTCCCGAGTGGTTCTTAGCTGCCCAAGGCTGTTCAAGTCAGCCTTGAACACAGAGATGGATAAACATGTTGAGAGTAGAGAAGAGGCTTAAAGGGTAATTGTTACCCTGCAGCAGAAGGGAACTCTGAGGACCACAGCTGTCGCTGCAGCACGTCTGTCTCTCTTCTCCGCAGAGAGGACAGCACACAGGGGAGAGTCCATGACTCAAAGGGACTGCTGGCTAGACATGGAGCAGAGACGACATCAGTTACATTAGAATTGGATTATAAAGAACATGCTGAATTGGGGCAAAACATGCATTTACTAAAGGTCATCAGCTCTCACAAGGAAATAACTTTGTGCTGAATATTTATTCACTATAATGAGACATGTCAGAAAAGGGTTTTACTTGTATACAACAACATTCCAAAATCCAGCTTCATCACCAAGAGGCATCACGGTCCTGCCCTAAGCAAAGGAAACAGACAACTGTGCAGTCAAAGCCTTCTTATAAAACTCCACTTAGCCCAAGTCTTAGAAGACCTTGGCTCTCAAATGACAGTTTATTGAGAGGAAAAGGGGAACACGCTCCACGCCGCTGGCTGTGGGCAGGAGCCCAGTGTTCTGGTATCAGAGCCTCTGGTCCAAGGTCAAGTCTCAGGAAGCCTCTTGGTTGTTTCGACCCTGCCTGAATAGTGTCTACTATTCTTTCTGTCTTCGCTGAACATACAACAGATTAAACAACTGCTAACTTAAATCATTTGAAAAGGTGTGTTCAGTGCAGAAAATTCGAAAACCCAGTAAGAAAAACGAAATTAAAAATAGCCTTGGGCCAGCTGGGTGGCTCAGTTAGTTAAGAGCTTGCTCAAGAGTGCAAGCTCTGAGCAACAGGGTCGCCGGTTCGATTCCCGGCCCGAGCTGAACTGCCACTGAGCTGTCAGATGGCTCAGCTAAAACAAAAAAATAAAAAAAGAATAGCCTCTAACACCTACTGCCATACCTTACCCCATCCAACCGATAGAGAATTACCCTGTTAATGCTTTTATTCTTAAGAAAGTAGTTGACTTACCTGAAATTATTGCAGCCAAGGACTACTCCGACTATGTTCTTGCCTATGTCATGCACGTCTCCCTTCACGGTGGCCAGCACAATGGTGCCCTGGTAAGGGTCCTGGAGAGAAGCCAAGCAGCTAAGCATTGCTGTGGTGATTTCAGAGCCAATCACTAGTTCTCCAGAGCCAGACCAGTGTCAGCACAGAACGCAATTTAGTACAACTACGATAACCTCACACAGACAGACCCAGAACCCAAATCATGAGCCCTGCAAGTAGGAAGCTGTAAGCCTGAGCAGTGCAAAGGCTGCCCACCTGGGTGGTTAGCTCAGGAAGCTCCAACCAAGATCATGGTTCTATCACCTCAAAAAACAGCTTAGGTTCAAACACAAAACAGCCCCATAGCTGAAGACCATATCCTTAAGCCAAAAACTGTCCGAGGGACAGAGGGCATTTGATTGTCTTCTTGTTTCTTCACCACTATCGTTCCATGCATCGTCAGCAAAAAGAAAGGAAGAAAGAGAAAGAGGAGGTGGGGGGAGAGAGAGGGGGGAGGAGAGAGAGAGAGAGAAAGAAAGAGAAAAGAAAGAAAGCAAAGCAAGCGGGATATTTATAAACACCATGTCTGTCTGAGCCGTTCTCAAACTCAGATCAACCTAAGAATTCAGAATCCTAGTTGGCTGAGCCTCACAGGGAGCTAAATATGGTCCAGGCTTAGCGCTCACTGTGGTGGTGCAGCCAACAAGACTTAAATTGAATCCAGATGCTGTGCCAAGGACATTACCAGTGTTCAGAGGATATTCACTTAAGAGGTTTTCCAAAACCAAACATTAGTCAATTACCTCAAGGGTAGGGACCGATCTTTGCAGCTACAGTGTATTGTGCCGTAATTGGCACAGAGAAGCAGCTCTGTAAATGGGTCAAAGATGGATAGATGAATGAATGAATGAATGAATGAATGAATGAATGAACTAGCTTTGTCTTAAAATCATGGGCTTTGTTTGAAAACTTATGTTCATATTAAAAATTTCATAAATCCACATTCAGAGGAAAATCCCAGGGTATTGTGACACCTGGTAAAACAGATCATTTCTCTATTTTACCTTCAATGACAAACACAGCCAAGCCCCATGGTCCCTACCCCACCCAAGTAAGCGTCTTCAAGGCCAGCTCCTCACAGGGACCAGAGGCCTGGACGAACGACTTACCTCTTCTTCCACGGTGCCAGTCAGCAGTCTGGCTTCTTCTCTGTCTTTTTCCATAAAGGGAATTAGGTGGCCAACAGCCTTCTTCATGACCCGAGCTGACTTTATAACCTGGGGAAAACACAGAGTCCGACATCTTTACCAAACTACCTACGTGTTTGCTAATGGCCACTTGTGAAATTTTAGCATGAATTAAGAATGCTTTGACCTCAGGTCAGCCACACTGGAGCCCACTGTTGACAGTGGGAAGGGTAAGCGGGGAGAGCCCAAGAATGAGGTATTGCAGAAGGAAAACAAGGCTAGAAATCAAACGCTGCAATTTCTGTCCTCTGCACTTTTGCACATTATCTTTTCTGTCTAGAAGGCCCTCCTTCACTCCTCCAAGGTCCAAGCTTCTCCACCATGAGCCTCTGCTCAGCCTTCTCTTCTCAATCCCAAGCATTATAATTCCCTTATAATTAAGGCTTACGCTTAAGCAAGAACAGCGTCTTTTACAAAATGCATCAACCTATGCTAAAACTCACGAGTGGAAGGATGATAGGCAACAGGTTATTGGCGCAGTGCCAAAGCTTCTCCCTACAGGTAAATTTACAATGGAGAAACCTAGCAGATGCCATTAACTGAATGATCCAGATTAATATCACCATTAACAGCAAGAGCCTCCTGACATGCTCCACGGAGAACGACACGGCATCACTCTGTTATTCTTGCCAAAAACGAGAAAACATCAAACCAATTCAAATTGACAGTCTACATAATAACTGCATTGGACCCTTCAAAAGTCAAGGTCATAAAAGGAACTGTTAGACAACGCAGGAGAAACGCCATGTGGGATCTTGGAGCAAAAAGATAATGGTAATGGAAAAACTGGTGAAATCTGAATAAGGTCTTTATTTGATGGTACTATACCAGTGTTAATTTCCTGGTTCTGATAATCATACTACAGTCAAGTAAAAATGTTCCCCTTAGGGAAAGAAGCCGCGTGAGGGACACAGACATATCCTAATTTACAGGTGCAAGTTGTCTGTAACTACAGTTAACTCAAAAGTGAAAAATAAAAAGAAGTCAACAGCATGAAAAACAAAGACCGAGGAAGCATCCCAGGCTGGAGGAGGCGAGGAAGACAGGATGAGGGCCTCTTCCTCATCCTGAGTAAGTGTGAGATGGTGAAGGTGCACACACGTTAAATTGATCAAACCACGTCCTAGCTATGTGCAGTTTGGTATATGTTAACTATAAAGCAATAAAGCTGTTAAAATAAGGATGAATGTTATGAAGGGAAATAGGAAATTAACAATATAGGATACGTAATTAAGAAGAAAAACAGAACCGTGTAGTTTTTTGTGGGCCTCACAGTCCGAAACCCAGATGGCACAAAAAGTATTTGTTAACTAACGTGGAGAGAAGCTGCTGTAAATCAAAAAGTGAGTTCTGGTCTTACTCGGAACTTATCATCTAATGTCTATCGCTATTTAAAATGGTGATGGGGCCGGCCGAGTGGTGCGATGGTTAAGAACTCGCTTGGGATGCCAGAGGGCCCCGGTTCGGATCCCACATAGGAGGGCCAGTGACACTGCCCTCCACAGCTAAGATGCTGAACAACAGCTCAACCTGGAGCTGGGCTGCCATGAGTCGCCGGCGGCGGCGTAGGCTGCAGTCCCTGTGGCAGTGGGTTGCCATGGGCTACCGCGTGTAGCCAGCAGCCAGCGTGAGCGGCCAGCAGCCGCAGTGAGCGGCCATCCAGAAGCCGGTGACTGATCTGCCTCGCCAGAGAAGAGCACAATGATGGTGCCAGCTTGGGCCAGTGAAGCAACATCCTCCACAACTAGACTGAAGAACAAAACGACAGCAACTTGTCTGTTCCCCTTCCCCCAATTCCCCAGCGCTGTTCCCCTCCCCGCAATTCCCCAATAAAAAAATAAAAAAAATCTTTAAAAAAAAAATAAAATAAAATGGTGATGATTTTTTTCAAAATATGCATTCTAAAAAATGGATATTGGTTGGTCAAATCAAATGTTACTATTAAGTTTAAAATAACCTTGGCCGTTATTTTAATTTGCAGAGAGGTAGATAGGTACTGGGGGTAAGAGGTGGTACAGAAGATCAGAACATGAGGATTAGAAGCTAAGAATGTCCACATGACCTCTAACTTCCACATCACCCTAAAGATGGGTTTTTCTAGACATTACTCCGAAATACATTTAGAGAAACAATGACCAGATCGCAATGGCCCTCTTGTCAAAATTAAAACCTGGAAATATAGCCAAACTTGCTATTTATTTAAAGATACAGACTTTTTCTTTCAGTTGTGAGAATTTCCCCCCATCTTTTGCCAACCTGAGGTAGAAACATTTTTCCAGCTCCAAAAAGGTCACCAACGACTTTCATGCCACTCATCAGAGGCCCTTCAATTATATTCAGAGGTCGGGGGTATTTTTCCTGGTTTAACCTGGCTTCCTCAGTATCCGCAACAATGTGTTTTTCAATGCCCTATAAAAAACAAACAAACAAACAAAAAATTAGGAAAAACAAAAATCACATAAAACATTGGCTTAAGTCCAAATAACCAACAAAGAACAAATCACGGAAATGCAGGTCTGGGAACCAGACTCACGGGTTCAAATCCTGCCTCCTATCACCAATGCAGGAAATTCGTTAAGCCTCAGTTTCCTAGATTACAATATACATAGTACCCGCCTCATATGGCTACGTTGAGGGTTAAATGAGACACATACGGAAAGTGTAAAGTACTCAGTAAAAGTGAGCTATGAGTGAGAGAAGGAGTACTAATAAGTGAAGTTCAAATTCATACTAAAATACACTTTTTATTCTAGTGGTTTAACAGATTATACATTAATAAGTATCTCCTGTGACATCAGCAGTCTTCTCACTGCAATGCTAGGGGCTGGGGAGGAAAAACAATGGGCAGGGCCCTGCAGCAAAGTTCAGATCCATGGAGCCCCCCTGATGTACCAGCGGTCAAGCCCCATCCTCCAACGGCCCCAGTTCAAGGATCCCTGGATGTGGCTGACTAATTCTACAACCTGAAATACAAGAATCTCACAAAGTTAAAAGTTAAATTCTAGAGCCAAAAAAAAAAAAAAAAGAAGAAGAACTGAAATTCTCCAGACTCACAAATGAGGAAACCAAAGCCAAGAGATTATTTATCTTGTCTAAAATTCCAATTCCGAGCAGAAAAGCCAGGACTTGCTTGGTGATCGCATGACAGCAACTTGATCTAGGACAGAGCTTCCCAAGCCCAGCACTACTGACATCTTGGGCTGAGTAATTCTTTGTCATGCAGGCCTGTCCTATGCCCTGTTGGATGATTAGCAGCATCCCTGGCCACTGGAACCAGTAACACCTTCCACCCCCAGTTGTGACAACAAAAAATGTCTCTGGACACTGACAAATGGGGGTGGGGGGGTGTCTAAGGACTCCTTTGCCAGCTACTGTCAGCACCACTCCTGCAGCACCATCAGACACCCAGGGGGAACGGGCCTCCACCCTGGAGTCCCCACTCGCGCAGTCTCCCACACTCACCTTCACGAGGGCGTACTCCAGGCGTTCTTCAATAGAACTGTTCCTCCACTCATCGGTCTGCACGACCTTCTTCCCTCCTTTGCCATGAGTCTGAATTGAAATTAGGACACAGAGATGGATCCAACAGGTCCTTACTGAACTATCTGGCAGCAGAAATTAGGCCTGATCCTTCTTTTATATTTTTAGGCCCTAGTAGAGCATCCAGCATGAATTAGTATCTCCATAAATGTTTGAGGGAAGGAGAACTCTTTTAGGATTTCAACTTTTAGAATCAGGGACAGAGTGAGGCTCCATGTTTTCTTTCCTTTTTCCTAAAAGATAACTTAGGACAAAAGATTTCCAGGACAGTCAGAGGAGCTCTGCCCCACATGTGCTGAGCTTTTAAAGCTCTCTGCAAGGACCATCACTACCCACAGGTATGTGTAGAGGGGGCCATCATCCTGGACCTGGGCACTCAAGAGATGCAGGACACGGCCCGGGCTGCCCGGGACTCTATCACGTCATAAGGGAGGTGGGAAGATCAGCTCCAAGGGAAAGCATGCGCCAAGGGCTGAAGGAGGTAGATGGTATAGACTAGACCCGGAATTTTGAGCAAGGCGCGATCATCACACATTAAGGTGAAGAGAGACTTTGAAGAAGCTGACAGGTTCTGACAGGTTCAGCCAAGGGACAAAAGTGCAATGATCATGCTGCACAAGGTCAAGTGCAGTATTACCATATCCGCTTTCTCCATCTCACTGGCGGCACCAGTTGCCCAAAACAGAAATCTAAGTATCATTCTTGAATATCCATTCACTCCTCACATTCAGTCAATCACCCAGTCCTCATGATGACACCTCCTAAATTATTTCTCTCCACCCGCTTCCACTTTCACAGTCCAAGCAACTAACAGGTCTCTGCAGCCCAGAATCACATCTTCTGCACAGTGGCCAGAAGGACAATCCAACATGCAAATCTGGGCAAACCACCCCGTGTGAAGAAATTCACTGTACGTTGCCTACTTCTCTCGGGGTATCCTGTAACTCCTTTCCGTGCCACACTCTGCCCCCATCTGGTTTTCTCCTCTAGCTTCACCTTCTGCCGTTCCGACAAGCTCAGCTACCCTCACATTCCAGTTTCTCACTCCATCATCTTCACCTCTGGGCCTTCACAGTCATTCATCTGACACATATTTATTCAGCACCTAGCACAATGCCAGGCCACAGCTAGAGGCACATAGGTGTCCCCTGCCAGGGACCAGCAAGCTGCCCTCCAACACCAAACCTCAGGCTGGCTGACTACTATCCAGCTTTCAGGTCCCTCCTAAAAGCATTCTCCCTCCATCCCCTATCACAGCACTTACCATGCTGCCTTACAACTGCCTTTACACATTTCTGCATGTCTCAGAAACTGTGGGCTCAGGAGGGCACATCCCTCTTACTAGTGAGGTCTTCCAAGTTCAGTAAGGAGCACAGCCCAAGACGAGAGTTCAGTCAGTACTAGCAGAATTATGTAATGCTGATCAAAGCTAGATTTTTCTGGACCAGTGTTTGTGCAGGACTGTGGAAGCCAAATCACAGAATACCAGAAATCCAGGCTCCGGAGTTTGGATTTAACCTTCCAGGCAATTGTGGGGTCAAGGGCGGGGGACAACACAATTCAAAGTTCTGAAGCTGCAGAATTACATTCAAAGGAGTATTTTTAAGAGAACCCCACAAGGAGGAGAATGTTTTAGTAGCCCATGATAAAGGCCTGGAATACACTGGTGGTAACAGGAAGGGGAAAAGGGCTAACATAAAGACACTGAGGCTGGGGTGCTAACTCAAATAATGATAACACAGGGCTTCCTCACTTACATACCAAAAATCCTGAACAGTATGGTCCTTAAAAAAGAATGATCTGCAACATTATTCACAATAGCCAAGATATGGAAGAGTCCATCAATGGATGAATGGATAAAGATGTTATACATGTATACAATGGAATATTACTCAGCCATAAAGAAAGAAATGCTGCCATTTGCAATAATGTGGATGGACTGCGAGGGCATTATGCGAAGTAAAAGATGATTACTGCATGATCTCACTTATATGTGGAATCTGAAAAAAAAATGAATTCATAGATACAGAGAACAGGTCGCTGGTTGCCAGAGGTGGGGGTAGGAGGTAGGTGAAATGGGGGGTTGGGGGGGTGTCAAAGATACAAACCTCCAGTTATAGAATAAATACATTTTGGGGATGCAATGTACAGCATGGCGACTATAGTTAATAGTACTGTATTGCATATTTGAAAGCTGCTAAGAGAATACATCTTAAAAGATCTCATCACAAGAAAAACAAATGTGTAACTATGTTTGGTGATGGATGTTAACTAGACTTTTATTGTGGTGACCATTTTGCAATATATGCAAATATCAAATGATTATGTTATACTTGAAACTAATATGTCAATTATATCTCAGTTAAAAAAAACTTTAAAAATCACAAAATATTACAAAATTCATGTTATACACTCTGACCTTTATTGAAGTAAAACACAGAATACTAGAGCTGCGTGGCACTATAAAAAGAAAGAGAGAAGAAAGGCCTTCTAAGGCCCACAGCCACATCACTTGAGACATGTAAACACCATTTGTTCCATCAGCCACACAATCAGGCAAATCCTGCCTGTGGGATGGAGTTTGATGTGTAAAAACAGGGCAGAGTGTTCCAAACACCCTTGCAAAAAGGACTTGGTGTGTTTTCATGGAAAAATACAGCGTGCGGCACATATGCAGTGGGGAAGGTCAATGTGAATTTGAACAGTGGCAAGTGACAACACGGTGAGGGCCCCACTGACATGCAGGGACTGCAGTGAATGAACACGGCCCCAGCTGATGGGACATGCTTCAGGAAATCCACGCTCACAGTGAAACGGCACCACCCCAAGCAGCTATTTCACAAGCACAGTGTGGCATGTGGAGCCCACCAGGCTTCCCAACTAGTCATTCCACAGGATGTTCTCCAGGACGTGAATACAAGCTGCTGCACAGTTTCGCAGTCAGACCAGACACCAGACACACTGGAAGCTCATCAAACAGAAAGCTATCAAGCAAACTGTTGTCAGGGCCACCTGACCACTCCTTGAATCCATATCTACTGCTCTCAAGGAGCTTCTGCTTCTCAGGTCCTCATGATGACCTGTGTTTTGTTTCTGACATCAAACTGGACCAGCACCAAGGGGAATGAACTGCTCTAGAGAAAGCCAGACGATGAGTCTTCCAGCGGCAATGAGAAAGACCAACACCAGGTCAAGGAACAGATGACTGTTTGGCCAGAAAAGGATCAAGAATATTCTCTCAACCCAACATCATTCAAGAGCCATCCTACTCAGAGCAGAGTGCCTTCCAGTCCGTACCCAAAGGGGTCTTGACCTCCATCAAGGTACTGCTTACTAAAGAAATGCCATGTGAATTAGCTGGTACCATCATACCTTAAACAGCCAAAATGATTTACTCACCACCGGCCAGTCTGTACCAAATAAGGGCAATTATTTTTCAATAAACTCATTATTCCCCCAAAATGGGATTAGACTCTTTAGGAAGAACAAAGACAGGACTCTTTCTACCCTTTTCAATAATGGATCAGATAGGAACTTGGGCACAGATGTCATCATTTAATAACAAAAAGAGACCATCAGTCTCTCAAAAGAAAAAACAAAATTCCTCAGCCTCTATTTGCCTTATAATATTCCTGCTTTTCGTGTTCCATTTGCACTTGGTGTATCCTGGGAGTTATTAAATTATGTCTGTTCTGTTATTAATTCCATTAATAGTAACAGAAGTCACCTTGAATGCAGACAGTTAGCCTTCTTGACAGAGGGGCCAATGGCTTGTAATAAGTCCTTGTGGTTCCATTAAGAGGGAAGCAATCTCTTATACAACGGATTGTTAAGCTCTTGCAATCGCTATTAAGATTTCCCTCGATTATGCTGTGCCCCAGGAGCAAAAGCTCCTGGCAGCTCAGCACCATATAAAGAAACAAAAACTTGTAAACAAATGCTAAAAGTGAACACAGACCAAAAAGAGTGATATAAAATACAAAGCCAACAAAAACTTAAATGAGAATAGTCTTATAAATAAGGAGCTCCATCTTTTCTAAGTGGGAGCACTATCTCATGGGGACGATGGAGGAAATGATGAAATAGCACATCATCTCATGGGTTAATTAAGCAAGCTCTAGTATAATGTCATGATTAAGGGACCTGTGATGCCCTGTTGGCCTTCGCAGAACCCTGTCTTACTCAGTTATTAATGGAAGGTCCCCACCAGGTGGAAGGCGGGCTAAGACAAAACTGAATAGTTGTTTCAAACCCATGTCTTGCTGTTCAGAGAACATTAAAGGACTAAGCACATTGTCTACATGAGCAGAAACAGTCATGGAAATGGGAAAAGAAACATGGGGACTGTTTCTTCTGTAATGAGCTGAGAAGCAGAGCTTGATTACATCTGCAACGACAGACCTGAGACATTCTGTCCTGGGTCCACATGAGAAACGAGATGTTTCCAAGGAGCTGAGAGGAGGGGCACGTACGCAAGCAGGGGCTGAACTCCAGTCAGCTTTGCAGTTTCAGAAATCTAAGTCAGGCCACCAATCAGGCTGGGGAATCAAGGATGCAGTTAATCCTAAACGGTCCTATCCTCCTTCCAGACATTTTAGTGTGCTTCGATGGAAGAGGAAAGGTTAGCGGTTCTGCCAGAGTTAAATTCAGATTTTAACATGGAAAACATAACAAAGAGTGGCAATATACAAAAAAGCACTCTACTGCTTTCCTACCCTGATGTGTGAGGAAAATGTCTTCCTCTGCCATCACTTTCTGAAATCAATTAAAAAGTAAGTTTTTTGAGGTAAAGATTTAATCTTTCCTTAAACTCAATTCGAGGAAGCAGCACCCATTTAATGTACCTAGGATTCCCCAACACATAATAAGTGGGAAACAAGGAAGTGATTTTTGGATTAACTATCATTATTCTCATGTCTGTAGAGCAGGTATGTGCAGACCTCAAGCCCTGAACTGCAAAACCTTGCCACAGATGGAGCAGATCTTCATATATACAAATGTAAACATATAACAACGGGGACCAGGCATTACATAGCCACACAAGAAAATCCAATATAGCCAATTTAAATTGTGAGGTAGAAAAATATCTAATAAAATGGAAAGATGTTCCCAGTATATTGCCAAACAGAGAGGTTATCAAAAAGGCATCTAGAGTATAGTTCTATTTTTGTAAATATGTGTGAGTGAGTATGTGTGTGGATACACTTAACAGTACATATTCATCTGGAGAAAAAAACAAAACAAAACCCATGACAGGAAGATTATAACAAAATCTCAACAGTGGTTGACTTCAGGTAGTAGGATCATGAGTGATTTTTATTTTCTTCTTTTGCTTATCTGTATTTTGTAAATTTTCTAGAATATGTGTTACTTTGGTATGAAAAAAATTCATTTTACATTTTAAAATAAATTGAAACATAAATTCAGAATCCTGAAGCAGCCTAAATGTGGCCTGTTTCTCCTTCCTGGCTCTCACTAAAACGCCTCCTCTAGGACTCCCTTCAAAAATCTCCAGTGATCCAAAGACATGATCACATATCTGCTTCTATTCTACAATGAAGGTCTACCGAGTGTGCATGAGAAATGAATTCAAAGATAGGAAAGCCCCATGGGAACACCTTCTCTCTACCTGGGCATAGTGTAAGAGCTTCTCAGTGGCCTCAGGGTCTTTGTTCCAGATGAGATCTTCACAGAGCTGGAGAAGTTCCTTATGGATATCGTCATACACAGGGAGGTTCCCAGCATTCACTATCCCCATGTCCATACCAAACTAAGGGCAATACAAAGAACAATGAGCACTTCCAGTGACAGTATAAATCAGGGCTCAGCAAACATTTTCTGTAAAGGGCCAAACAGAAAATGTTTAGGCCACTGTCTCTGTCGCAAATACTGAGCTGGGCTGCCACAGCATAAAGGCACACGGACTACACTGAGTGGCTGTGGCTTCGCTCCAGTAAGACATCACTCACAGAAACGGGCAGCAGGTCAGAGTGGAGCTGCAGGCTCGCAAACCCCTGCCCCAGGTAAGAGCTGGCTTCAAAGGGAACAGGTGTTCTACCTTACCTTGATCGCGTGGTACAGGAAAACCCCATGCATTGCTTCTCGAATGGCTTCCATTCCTCGGAAGGAAAAGGACAAGTTGGAAAGACCTCCACTTATCCTGGCTCCAGGTAAAGTCCTCTGGCAGAAATTCAAAAAGTGAAAAGATTCCCATTTCCAAAACCAGCAATCACACACCTTAAGCTTTATATATAAGGGCAGGAAGTAAAAAACAGATCAAATTCAAGGTTCCCACCACACCTTATGATGAGATCAAGCATTAGCATGTATGTGGAACAACAGGAATTCTTCCTGACTGTTGACTAAAGTACAAACCAGCTCAAGCATTTAGGGAGACAGCTTCCATTACTGACCACTATGACCCAACATTCCACTTCCGGGCTACACTACAGAGACACTCATGCACAAGTGCCCAGAATACACAAACAAGAATGTTCACAGCAGCACTGCTCACAGTGTCCAAAGCTGGAACACACCAAATGTCTATTGACAGAGGAACAGTTAACTGTGGGGTAATTCCACAATGGGGTGGTATACAGTAATAAAAACGAACAGAAGACAGTCACAACACTGATGAATCTTTAAAATGAGGTTGGGTAAGGAGAAAAGGCAGAAGAATCTTAGATTCTGTTAAGCTCAGAAACAGGCAAAACTATACTGTTTACACAGTCAATTCCCATGATTTGTGGTAATTATGTTCTATAAAGTCACCACGAACACTGAACCAGGAGACACTGGAAACCACTGTTCCTGAGGAAATACAGGATTAGGTTCCTGTGAGCCTCTGGTCACAAAATTTTCATCAACTGGTCAATATATAACCTTGTTTCATATGTGTTTCCGTTTAAAGACATCTGTTTAATACATGCTGTGGATTCACCATACTGAGCTCACAGCCAACAGCATCACAGCTCGTGTCTACACAAAGCTTATATAACACATATTTTCTCCAAAGGCACATCACAGCCTCCTGCTCTTAGGAGCACCAGACAGCACCTCAGCACTCTGTTTATATAAGTGATAAATTTACAAAGAAAAGCAACAAAACTCAGGACAAAGGTGTAATCAGGAAGGGAGAGATGGGGACACTAGCCATGTCCTTTCAGGACCTATGTGAGCTGTTATATGCTTCATAATTAATTATTATACTCTGTATTTTTTACATATTCTCCAGTGTGTATTATACTTCAGTTTAAAAGAATATACAAAAGAAAATAATAAAGGGCCCTAAATTTCAGAAAACCAATTTACTACCTTGGAACAAAAATGTCAACATTCCCAGCCAACAAATATATACACGGTAGTTCAAACTAGTCACGGGCACCGTGTGGTACACTGGAACACTGACTTTGGTAGAAGAGAGACCATGCCCATCCTTACCTTAATGACTTCTGTTGCATGGATAAAATTAACGGCATACAAGTTGTGTTCCTCCATCCCGGTACCAATGGTGAGGATGTTAGGGTCAAAGATGATGTCATTTGGATTGAAGCCCAGTTTTTTCACAAGCAGATGGTAGGCCCGGGTGCACACTCTGACTTTGGTGTCTGTTTCTGTCGCCTGGAGGAAGGAGCAAAAGCTTGTCATTTGAAATAAAAAAGTAAAGTGTTATCTATGAAGACAGAAGCACATTTCCCTTGTCGAAAGCACTCAAGTACCAACACTTAGGTTTCATAAAAATCCAAATGCCAAGCAGCCACTAAACATTTTTCAAATTATCTCAGAGGAGGAATTGGTTTAAAGTCCCTTTGTGTTTTCACCAGCACAACAGCTAACTGGCTTCTGTAAAAATCAGATTTTATATGCACATATGTGGTATATTAATAAATGGGTTTCTAAAAAATACATTTGTGATGAGGACTCAGGCTACTAAGGGACAAATTAAAAGCAATGTTCCTCCTCTCTCAGCCTGCCTGCAGTGCCTTAACCTGCCACCCCGACAACACTGCTAGAGCTCGGGTCTTCCTGCAGGGACATTCCACGCAGATTCAAGGATATGTGTGTATTGCCTGCCTCCCTCCGCACCCACCTTAACAACAGCTGGTTAACGCATGCCCTACGTCATCGATATAAGTTACATGAGTACCACTCTTCAAAACAGTGACGTGAGAGAAGAGAGCACTGACTCCAGCAAGGCTCCAAGCCCAGCCTCAGAATCAGGGCCTACGTTTCCCATTTCGTTTCCTACCATTTGTCCCCTACCATTTGTCCCCTCAGGCAGACAAGGCCAAGTGCACACTGTGCTGTAACTTGTGAGACAACTGAACACCCAGAGCTGGAGTCTTGGGACCAAGAACACCTTATGTTCCTCAAATTCCTGCCACAAACTCCCACCTCTGAGAGCAATCTGGATAAGTCTGCTTCTTACACCAAAGGATTTAAAATATAACCCATCTGGTAAGGAAAGGCCCGAGAACAGGAACATTCAGTCATTCAGCTTCAGCCAGGGGGTGACGACCTCTCTGTAACCACTACAAAGGAGGCCCCTAAAATGCAGAAGTATTTGTCAGATGTTAACAAAACTCAGAGAGGGGACAGAGAAGGAACCCTGAGAATCAGCTTCCAGGCTTCGGTCAATTGCCTTGAGCAAGGTAAAAATAAACGGAAAAGTGAGAGCTACTGACTTCAGTCTCCTAAACAGCTGTGGTGCTCACCCTACTGGAAAATACGTGTTCAACTGAAAAACAGTATCACTTCATCTACACTGAATGAAAAGGCTGGTTACGTGATAAAAATCTAAAAAATCACTACTGAAGGAAAAATATGTTCGAAAGGAAAAACAGGCCAGTCACAACAATAAAACAACACAAAATAGCTAGGAATGATCTCGAGGATGCCTATTTAAGCAAAACGATAAAACTTGATTGAATAGTGACTGGAAAGACATACCATGTTCCTGAAATACAAACCTGCGTAGTTCCCAGGTACCAATTCTTCATTATTTTCTAGGTGAGGATTAATTAAATTGTAATCAATATCCCAATGGGGCTTTATTTCTCCATAAACTGGACAGTTATTTTCAAATAATTTTAACATAGGAAAATCTGTTGAATATAATGATTTCATAGGATGATATTGATTATTCTTTTATGTAGTTTACGCATGTACAAACAAAAAATCATAGTCTATTCTGCTATTATGTGATAATTGTATTTCTGGGAAACCTTATCAAAAAATTGTCATTTGAAAATAATCATTCCAATTAGTAATGGAAAATTTAAAGGTGTTCTGCATTTTGTTATTTAGAGCTAAAAGTAACAGTTGACCAAAACGACTAACATCAACAAAGAACATAGAAATGATTCCTAGTTGCTGTCTCAGGACCAGATCTGACCTTGACCGAGCAGTTCTACCTGTAACACGGATTGCAGATATAAGCCAAGGACAGTGGTTAGATACTGAAACAAAGGCAGGTGTGAGTTCACAATAGGAGGTTTTCATTTCAGAGTTGCTTTCTCCTTATCACCAGTGGTGTCATCCAAGCAAAGCAAATCTCAGTTCTTAACTGGTTCTCCCTATAGCACCAAGAGAACTCAATCAATAGAAGACATGCCTTTATACCAAAATATCTGTACTGTTGGATTTCTGAACCGTGCAAGTACATGAATTTTTTGCTTTGCTCTTTATAATTTTCAATACCACAATTCTATAATGAATATGTATGTCTAGAATCATACAGAAAAATTATTTTTCATGGGGAAAAGCAATTTTTAAAAAGGCATCTTTAATTCCGCTACCTTACACTAACAATTATTTTTCTTTACAGCATTTTCCTCCACTTTTTATCAAATGTAGTTTTTATGTAGTCATGTATACCGTGTCTATATAATTTTTGGTTTTGTACTTTGAATTTATATTTATAAGCGCTGTCACGCTGCTCCATAACCTTCATAATTAATATTCAAATAATCTGGATGCTGTTCCAATAGAGTGATGGGACAAGTAATCAATTTCTCTTCAGCTGGGCATCAAGGTTGCTCAATCTTCAATAAAACTGGTGAAAATCTTTGCATATATTATATTCTTATGCTGCTGAACCCTTTTATTGGGATATTTTCCCAGAAATGAGGTCATTAGTTCAAAAGGTATGAACATTTTTATCTCTTGACAGGTATAATGGTGTCTTTCAAAAGTACCATCCCAGTTGACACAACACTCGACGATGAATGAGGCTTTCTGCTGACCACTGCTGTACCAGTACAGACTCCGACCATTTTTAAGGTTACTTTTACTAACTTAGGAAGGAAAACATTACCTTAATATAGCTCTAATTTGCATTTCTTTCATAAACCAGCAAGTTCATTTTTTTCACTACATTTTTATGTGTGATCACATTCAAATCTAAATGGGGAAAGCTTATTCTCTGACAAGATCAGGCACTAACAGTGTTAACAGACAAAGTAGGGGGCTAAGCCAGGGTGTGGAAACTTGCATCCATCTTCAAACTAATCTCCATCTCTTCCTAGACATGTGACCTTGGCTCACAGAAAAATAGGAGGACAGCTACCCCAGGTGGCTACTGAAAGGACTCAATGAGATGAACTCGGCTGGTGGTTTTCAACGAGATTAGACACAAAAATCACCTTTAAAGCTTTAAAATTACAGAAGCCAGGTCTCACCCCAGACCAAAGGAGTCAGAAATTTAAGGACTGGAGTCCAGAGCTGTGCTTGTTTTTCAAAAGCAGAGGCAGTGCACAACCTTCCCTGTGGGAGAGTTTCTGCTTTACACTCAGGTGAAGCCCCGCAGATCTGCAAAAGCACACGACATTCCACTCTCATTCAGAGCTGACCTTGCTTCTTACTTCACTAAGAAAACACGCAGTCAGACTCGCACCAGCACTGTGCCCAGTGCCTGAAATCTACATTCTCACACCTGCCTTCTTTCCTGCGTGAACAAGCTGTCTGCCCTCCACTCCACACTGATTGTCGGCGCTCCCAACTCCCAAGGGGACAGACCTCGCAAATACCCCCTTCCTCTCCTGTATCAACGCCTCCCTTTCTCTACAAAGTCATTCCCATCAGCTTGTTAATCACACTGTCACATCATCTGTCTCCTCCCCCCACCTCTCTCTCACACACACACACCCTTTCTTACCTCATATCCATCTCTACTTTCCACCCCATTTCTCTGTTCCCCTTTACAGAAAAACTCCTCAAGAAAGTCTTATACACCTGCTGCCTCCAATTCTCCTAGCCTCTCTTGAACCCACTCTAATTAAGCTTTTATCTCCTTTGGAAACAGTACAGCAAGATCATACACTAGCCCATTTCTAAATCCAGTGGTAAATTCTTGGTCTTATTGACTTGATCTACTCGCAGCTCTTTAAAACAGCCCATCAAGCCCTTCTTGAAGTTCGTTCTTCACGTCAAAGCCAAGTGAGCCTTCCCTTTTGGTCTCTGCTCCTCTCAAGCCCTGTAATGGGGTCTCCACTCCTCCCAGCCATGGACACTGCAGCTCCCAGACTCCCTCAGTCCTAGGGCCTCTTCACTACAGCCACTCCTTTGCTGAGCTCAGTCACCCAGCTTTAAATACCATCTACATACAGATAATGCCCAAGTAATGAAACCCTATTTTCAAGACTGACTTTGCCTGTGAAACTGACTCATCTATGCAAATGCACACTCCACGAGGCACCATCAACATGGTCTGTCCAAACCCAAACTTCTCTTTACCCATCCCAACTCCGCTGCTCTCACAGTTTTCCATCCTTTCAACTGCCCCAGCCAAAAAAAACCTGAAATTGTCCCTGAGTCCTCTTTCTTTCACAATCCACAATCAACGGTGAAGGCAAATTCCACTGAGACTCTATCTTAAAAATATCTGGAAACAGATGAGTAGAGCAAATGCCAGAATTGAAAAAAGGAGGGAAGAGATAAGAAAAGCAGGCAAGGGCCAGCCGAGTAGTGCTTTGGTTAAGAGCGGGCTTAGGACACCAGCTCTGAGCAGCACGGCCCCGATTCAGATCGCACATTAGGGTTAAGATGGTGAACAACAGCTCAACCTGGAGATGGGCTGCCGTGAGTCACCAGCGATGGCGTAGGCTGCAGTGAGGCTGCAGTGGGCTGCTGTAAGCTACCGTGTGTGGCCAGCAGCCAACGTGAGCGGCCGGCAGCCGGCATGAGCTGCCAAGAGCCGCCGTGAGCTGGCGTCCCATGGCCAGCGACCAATCTGCCTCACCCGGAAATAGCACTATGATAATACCAACTTGGGCCAGTGAAGCAACGTCCTCCACAACTAGACTGAAGAACAAAAGGACAGCAACTTGTCTGTTCCCCTTCCCCGAATCCCCAACGCTGTTCCCCACCCCCAACTCCCCAATAAATCTTTAAAAGAAAAAAAAAAAAGAGAAAAGCAGGCAAAACAGCTAATATCTGCATAATATACATGACAAAGACATAAATCAATTCAAGGAAACTTCCTACAACTGTGGCCATAAGTTTCCCGACTGAGCACACAACTTAATGGATGCCACCTCATCATCATCAGATTTCAGAACACCATGGACATAGAAGATCCAAGAAGTATCCAGAAAATGCGAAAATAAATAGGTTTCCCAAAA